CAGTGAGCTTCAGTGTTCCTGGTGTTTCTTAAATGAAGCCTCCCTCAGTGGGTCAACAGAACATCTGGCACAGGACAGCTGTGCCAGATGTTCACCTACAACCTCACCTGCAGTCACCCCGGAATCCAGAGCCACACCACCAATCTCAGGATTTTCTATGAGTCAGCTGTGGCCAGTGCTATCCTCTATGATGTTGCATCCTGGGGTGGCAGGTTGAGGGTTGCTGATGCCGACAGAGTCAAACTGATCCATAAGGCCAGTAATGTTGTGTGTATGGAGCTGCACTCTCTTAAGGTGGTGTCGAAGAGGCCAATGTTGTCCAAGATAAGGACAATGTTGGACAATACCAATACCTCCCACCCAGGTGAATTTTGTACATTACATGAATTAAATAAAATAGACAATCTGAAAATTTTAAATGAAAAATCTGAAATGTACATTCTCCCGGTGGGTGTTAGAGTGTCTAGAAGAGAGTCCTGTCTCAGTCGGTTTTGTTTTCTGTTTCTGTTTTCCTTAATGTTACTGTACTGGAGCAACTGTAACTCGAATAATTTCCCTAGGGATAATAAAGTATTCTGATTGTGATTCTGATAAAGCTTGAAGCAGCTCTGGCTGTTAGAACCAGCACTGAGTACTGTTAATTTATACAGTGTTTATACAGCATATCATTGCCTGTGATTCATTCATCAAGAGATTTTTTATGTGCACATTTTTTCAGTTATCGTATCTCTTGGCTTAATTACAGCCTTAGCAGCATCTCTAAGAAGAAGACCGCTGTAAACCTTTTGCCAATAATCAGACAAAAAGACTATTGATCCAGGTGGTATTCTTGGGAGTTTAACACCAAAACCGAACTCAAACAGTGAATTCTCATCAGACTGGATTTAATAATTAATAATGCATCTTCTCTCTTTCTCTCTCTCTCTTTATCTATCTAGCTACCCATCTATTCACCTCGTCTGTAAAGATAAGTATGACTGCAGTGATCTGCACAACATATTATAAAGAATAAAAACTATATGAATAACTTTACTCTTTAATATAAAACAAAGCAAGTACAAGTGTGTACAAGTTACAGACATATTGAAATAAATGAACTCAAATCAGTAGTGTCATCTATAATCTTCACAACAGGGAATGATTAATCCATTAAGAAAAGTAGAAAAACATGAAGCAAAATAAAAAAGTGAATAAATAAGTAAAAATGCAAATGAAACTAATCCTAAACTGAGCATACTGAAATTATGGATATGGAACTACAATTTTGACTCTATTCTTACTAAAATTTACTGGAACACCTACATGTCTTGGCTAATGCTTGTGCAAAAATAACAAATCTGTTGAAGGAAGCATGTAGACTAAAAATGTATAAACCATAATGGTGAGTTCACCGAATTCTCAGTTAAACGGAAGCATGTAAAAGAACAGTACACTGGCTTTTGTGCTAAGAAAAGTCAGGTATTATTGTTCTGCACCAATAATACATGCAGTGTTTTCAGTAATTCAGGAAGGTCAACAAAGGAATTCTGTCTATGCTTTCATTTTCCATTGAATTTCCAAGGCACTCACTCGTTCCAGTTCTTCCTGTGGGACACAAAGGTCCTTTGTCTGTCTCCTGTAAGTTTTTA